TGGGCAGACAAGCTTTTTTAGGTTGTAAATGGAAAGTTTTATTTCTAAGTCAGTTTAATTTGAAAACTTTAATCAAATCAACAATTACTAGTTATCGTTTTTACAGTGTGTTAAATAAAAGCCTCTGATGACCTACAAACATTTCTCAGTGTTATTCTAATTAAGGCCCATTGTAATATGTAAAATGCTGTGGCCTCAGAAAGCCCTACTGCACTCACAGCTGCTCCACCATACAGCAGGCTGAATGCTGCCTGATGCTCAGCTCTATGAAACGTTTATCGATCGCTATGTATGCTAATTTGCATCATTTGTGGGGCTGAAAGTGACATCAGAGCCTCCACCTTTCTGTGGAACAACGTTCAAAAAGCTCAGCCACCTGGACGAATTATCGCCTCCACCCAGCAGGCTCTGTGTGCAAAAGTGACGTAAAATTTGGCTTCCGTCCACCGACGTCTTCAAGGTCAACTTCATGACAGATTGGTGGGGGGGCTCTTTTAACTTAGAAACTACGAGCGTGTGCTGTGTGACGTCAGCATAGGTCAATCGACTGATCTGAGGGTCAAAGCGATAATTTTTTAAAACTGTGTTTCTGCCTTTGTTTATTTTGACCCCAGGAAGAGTTTGTTTAAAGTTGGTTCACAAACACTTTTTAAAGACTTCCACAGACACATAATAAGAAACATTACACTCTAATATTGACAGCGACTACATGGTAGTCGGTCCCACTATGACCCCTGACCCGTAAGGATCATGTTAGGTCAAGGTCAGGCTTGGTCTCTCTCGCCCGATCACGTCATCAGGAACGACCAAACGGATCACGTTTGTCAAGTGACGAAGGTGGGGGTGTGAGTGGGGGGCAGGCTTCCCTCGGCTGAGGCCTGAGGAGGAGGGACCAGAGCGCAGCGGGTGGAGCGGGTGGATGTTCTGAGTTCAGCTCCGTCTGCGCGCACTTCTCCAGCCTCCTCCTCGCCTCCTCCACCTGTCTGGCCCTTTCTCCGGCTCTCCGCGTCGGACGCGCATCGCCCTCTGCGCGTCCCCGCGGGTCTGCGCTCCTCGGTGCTCGTGGCTGTGAGCTCGGAGTGGAGCAGAGTGACCGTGGCTCGTGGGGATGTGGTGACATGCTCTCGCAGGAACGGTGAGTGAAACGTCTCGCTGTGTTCTGCCGTGACCTCCGCGCGCGCACGGAGGAAGCGCGCAGGGATGACGTGTGTGAGGGAGTCGGAGCTCTTTGGCCGTGGAGCGATGTCACGCTCAGATTTCTGCGAGTTTCCGTGTGAAACGCAGACGTGATCACGCAGCGGGGATTACTCACCTGTCTGCGGACACTGATCGGTAACGGACTGTGAGTGCAGCGGAACCGGATCCTGTAAGTTAGCGCGTCTGAACTGCGTGTCCCTGATTGTTGGTTCTGAGTGTGGGTCCGTTTGGATTCGCGTGATTTGGGGAGTGTTGGGTTGATCCTGAGGTGACACATTCACCTGCTTCTACCTGCAGACTCTTCATGTTGAATGAGCAGAGGGTGTGCGGCAGTTTTTAAATGACCCCCGTGTGCAGGCAGAGTCAGGCTCTTCCTTCACTCTTGTCAACTCTTGAACTTGGCTGTTTTTCCTTCTGCGCACTCTGCTGTTATCGTCGTTATTGTGTAACGTTTATGGCTCTGCAGGGGATTGGCACGACTCGATCAAAGGTGCAGGTTTGGAGTGTTAGTGTCAGCTGCTGTGGCCTCGGTGTGACCGGGTTCCTCCTCGGGTCAGCGCAGAGCCGCTCAGACCGGCTGATTCCCTTCCTATTCCAGTGTTCAGCCTTTTCTCCTCATGGTGATTAGACTGTGCCATTTCCAGCGAAGAGTCTTCTCCTCACCAGCTCCTCTTCTTACTTAAGCTTTGTTGGGAGGTTTTAGTCCATCAGAGGGCAGAGTGTAGACTCGCAGCAGCAGAGACCCTACCCACCTCATCCACATGTTTGCGCTCCAGCCGCTGCTCCGTCTCGCTGAATGTTAGGTGTTTGAGCGAGTGTGCTCAAAGCATTGAGAGTCATGCTGTGGTGGTGGAAGTATGGCAGCTGATCTTTTCTGTGATATTCTGTAAGTTGTGCAGTCTGTCGGTCCAGATGTTGATACTGAACCGTTAAAGAACAGCAGGAGATGAAGGTTCAATATCTTAGTTCAGTGGGAGTGTGGCAGATGTTTGTGTTAGGATGACTCGTAGAAGATGAAGTTTGGCTCAAACTATACATATGTATACTATATATATATATATATATAGTGCGCTGATGATCTTAACACAATGCCGAGTGAGTATAGAGCGAGTGTTGTCGGTGTCATTTCCCCGACTTGTACAGATGCTGTAACAGCTGCTGCAGTTAATAGGAAGGACAGGTGTACGTACATTTATTTGACACTCTTACTGTCCTGTCTTTCTCTTTTCTGTACTTTTACTCCTGTCATGTCAGAGTTCTTAATCCTGCAAAAAAAAGCTTTGATCTGAGTCTGATTTCTAATGTCAGAGAAAAGTCGTCACATTCAGACAAACGAGACGAGTGCAACAATCTCGGCAAAGCTGGGAATAAGACCACAGCTACAGATCCCCAGAAATATGTATAAGTGTTTTTTAATTCTTTGTCTGTTTTCACTGCCTTAAGGCACAATCAACCTACACAGGTTTCTATGGTTTCATCCTCTGCATTAAGCACATTGAGCTTGCTATTATGCAATGTGCTAAATAAATAAAATTGCCAGCAGCATTATACGCTTTTCACGTCACTACCGATAAATATGATGAAGTAAATTGATTAAGTAAGTAAGTAAGTAAAGTAAGTAAGTTTCTGATAAATATAAAGGCTTCTTTTTACTGCTGGTTAAAAAGGTTTAAATCTTTATCTTCTGTCAGAAGTTGAACACAATAAAATGTAGAGCTGCATTTTAAAGAAAAATCAAAGACATAAAATAATGATTAATACAAAAAGTCAAACTAAAATTGTTATTTTTGTGTGTCCAAATGTTTGAAATAGAGCCAAACAGGAAACACGTACTTATTTAAGAATCGTTCTCATGTAAATGAAGAAGAGCATGACACTGACACTCAGGTGTGGAGCAGCCCAAACATTAGCGCCTGTGCTCTTTCTCTGGCTCTGTCCCAGCCGCAGGATTGGTTCAGCTCGGCGCTGTTCTCTTTGTCATCGGCTGTTTGTGCTGTCTGTCAGAACACGCATGGACGAGCTCTGTCCGCTTTATATCGACTATGTTTCATGTCTCTACTGCACGATAATGAATCTGATGGGTTTTTCTCCCAGCTCTGATGTTGGTTCACAAACACTTTATGAAGGCCCTTATGGAGGATAACAGACAGGCTGTTAACAAATAAACATGCACGTGTCCATGGTGTGTGTGGCTGCTGAAGCTCTGCGTCTGTACTGTCAGTGTGGCTAAAGTCTACAGAAGAGCTTTAATGTGACCCGTTTACCATCTGTGTGACCAGAATGACCAAATGCAACAGTCCAGCAGATTGGATCAATAACTGGATCTCTCCCTCACACACACACACACACACACACACACACACACACAGAAATCCCTTTAAGCACTTTACAAACCTGTAGAATGATCCCTGACACCTCAGACTCAGTGTGAAACAGGCTGATCTAGTTATTAATGAAGGATCCTCAATTAGGACAACACACACAGCATTTGCTGAGGATCTATAGCCGGTTGTCTCTGTGACGTGGTCGCTGTCTGCCTCCACCTGTGCTGTAGCTTCACACCTGGCAGGCTGACAGCAGAGCTCTTATGAGCCTAGCTGCATAATTAATTGGATTTAAATCACACTTTTGATCAATTACAACATTTGCATGTTGATGAGATGTATTTTCAGCCTCCTGGGCTCTGGAGGCAGCGGTTATGTGTTTCATGTGTGAGGCAGGAACAAACGCAGTAACTAAATCAGCTTCACTGTGAGGTGAGAAATCATAAAAGGCACACAGTTGTTAATAGTAATGATGATTTACGATGCCAATAAAAGTGACTGTAATTAACTGTGAAACCTAAACTGTGGTCCATATGTTGTATCGTGGCTGTGACATTCATTAACCCAGCTGATGTGTTATCGCTCTGGCTGTTTATTGATATTCAAACCACTCGATGTCAGACGTCTTGTCAATTTTGCACAGTGAAAAAGAAACCTGGAGGATCTGCTCTACAGCAGATCTAAGAGCGTCTCTTACTGTGTCTCGATGTACGCAGAGTAGAAGCAACAGTCATTAAAAGACTTTCATTAGTCGATCCCTTAATAAGCAACTCCTTTTTATTAGAGGTGGTGATTATTGAAAGACCCAGCAGCTGTGGGAGGGGCCACCACTTTGACTCATTTTACTCATGTGGAGTTTATCATAAGCACAGCTACCCACTGCATCCACAGTGTCAGGCTCCAGGACATGGAGTGGGTCTGTTTTCTTTCAGTTGAGTGGTAAATTTATGTCTCAAAGCAACACAGCACATGAGATTCCACAACGCTGCTTTAAATAATGGAAACATTGAAAATACTCCCAAAGAAAAGAGCCCGGCTAAAACAAACGAAAGATGAAGAAGATCACGAGCCCTAAACTCGACCTGGAAACCAAAGAAGAAGAAACCAGAACAGTATTGTGGGTAACTCCCTCCACCACAGCAGCAACAGAAACATGATGGTGCTGATGCAGATCATGTAGCAGGAGAGAAGGACCAAGGTGCCATGCTTTTATACACATCCATCAAGCTTCAGCAACCAATCAGCACTTAGAACAAATCAAAGGAGAGAGAGAGAGAGAGAAAGAGCAGGTTAATATGGAGGACAACAAAAATCCCAGAAGACGATGAGTGGACCAACGTCCTGAGTATGATGGAGGTCAGCTGCTGGTGGCAGAACCTCCACCCAGACCTGCAGCAGTATTAACTATTAGCATCAGATTCAGTATTACAAACATCCAGTGCAGGTTAGGGTCAATGTTGCGCTCTCTGACAAATATATTCACAATGCACAATCACAAATTTGCAGAAGAAACTAGAAGAAGTTGGACCATAAAGAGGCATTTTAAAGTCTAGTAACTGCACGATGTTTAGATTAGATTAGATTAGATTAGATGAAACTTTATTAATCCCTCGGGTGGGTTCCTCCGGGAAATTCAGTTTCCAGTAGCACAGCACCGACAGAAGTTGCATGTTACAGATACAATAAGGGGAATGAGAGTAAGGATATATACCATAAATATGCCATATAGACGTAGACTTAGAGACTTAGAGCTTTTTATTGTCATTGTGCAGTTTCTTGCACAGTGAAATTGGGTAGCTGAACCACAAAGGTGCTAAAGTAAGAAGAAGAGAAACCAATATACAACAAAGGCGGAAAATAAATAAATAATTAAATAAATAGAATAAAATAAAAAACAGTGTATATGTATACATATGTGAGTGGAACTATATACATGGTGTATGTGTAGGAAACATTGAAACAGACTGGGACCAAAATAATTGCACATGAGCCAAAAATATTGCACAGAACATGGTAAGACTGAGATATTGCACATAGATGATCAACAGCAGTGTCAGGGTGGATGTGTTGGGGAAGTCTTTACACACTCTTAGTTTGCATTAAGAGTTCTGACAGCCCACGGCCCACATATACACACACATAAATACAGAATATGTCATATGGATAAATAGGATTGCACATTTGAGTGAGTATATTGCACAGTGATTATTGCACAGTTGAATATAAGAAAAAAAAATATTGCAAATATTGCACAGTGTAAAAAAACACTACAGCTCAGTTGTTCTCGCCCTCCTTTGTCCCCCCGTTTCCCCTCCCTCTCCCCTCCATTGAGGAGTTTAATACAATAATGCAATTCCTAGTAGATCCTACTAGTAATCCTAGTAGTAAGCCTCTACTAGTAGTTACCGGCCTATTTCAAAATTGCCATTTATAAGCAAATTACTAGAAAAAATTGTAGAAAATTAATTCAGGTCCATGCAGATTACAGATTGTTGACCCTTTTCAATCTGGCTTTCAAAAGCAGAACTCCTCTGAGACTGCTCTCTTAAGGGTCTATAATGATCTATTAATCCCTTCTGATGCAGGGAATTGTTCTGTGATCATTTTGTTTGATCTCAGTGCAGCCTTTGATACCATTGACGACAAAGTCCTACTTAACAGACTGAAGGTTTTGGCTGGTATATATGGATCTGCCTTAGACTGTTTTTTTTCCTACTTATCAGATAGGACCTTTTCTGTTAGGACTGACAGGTTCGCCTCTAGCATTGTCCCCCTAACCTGTGGGGTTCCACAGGGCTCAGTTTTGGGTCCATTTTTATTTTATTTTTACATGCTTCCTTTAGCT